ATATGTAATTAATAGTAAGCAACCAACATTGCAGCATTAAACTAACACCAAGGGTGTATACTTCATATACTGTATTTCTTCAGTGCAGATAAGAGTGGAGAAAAGGCTCAGATTCAAAGAACATCAGATCATATGTATCACTATATTTTTTAGTTTTGTGAGTTTAATCAAGAGTTAAGCAGCTCTTTTCTAACAGAGATTACTTTACTGTAGTACAATGTCTTTTTCTCCTGTCTTTGTGTCCTTGTTAGCACAGTGGTCATGGGCAATAATAGCTTACGCTTATCTTTGATACATGCTGACTACTACTACATTAGCCTGCCATACCAATCACCTCTGGAAGTGGCATGTCACTTACCTATACTAAATCCAGACTTACATGGAGGATTGGGTCCACAGCTGTTTCTTATCCAGGATCTTGGCTGTGTTGATAACTAGAAAAGGCATGTTTGAAAACTTCTCCAGCATGCGAACAGATAAATGATAAACATAAAGCTCTTCTAAATAAAAATTCTCATGAAATACCTGATACATAGCACAACTTTCTAAGCACAACATAAAATGAACACTCTAGCTCAGTATTAAATAATGCTATACCATCATATTAAAACCAAGTGGAAAGTATTACTGTTTCTGGTACTGTACTATCTGGATATCTATTTTTGTGTGATATTAAAAAGAAGATACATATAGATAATATATCTCAGTGGTGTTGGTCTTTGACTAAAAGGGAACGATGAGAAATTTTATACTTAGTTATATAAAGAAACTTATTTTTATTTGCATTTGAGAGACCCTACGAGTCATTTCATCTTCTATTTCACATAATTATCAAGTAAATTTGGCCAATTTTACTTTATCTGTTTTCAGATATAATAATGAAACATGATGGAACATGGTTAGAAACTCGGTCTTGAACAGTGGATTAATATTTATGCTTGTTATACAGTGTTAAAAAAATGTTTCAAAACAGTTTTCATTAGCCAACTGAATGTAACCTGTATAAAAAGTGAGGTTATTAAAAAAATTACAGTACCACATATTTTCTTCATATGTTCAGGGTCCATTATTCCAAATAACAGATATTTGAAGAAATTGTACATTTGCCATTAGGACATTTCTTTGAAAAAAAAAGTAATCATAACTAATGTTCTACTTGATATGATAGCATGACATCTAAAGGAAAAATAATCTTTAGTTGTTAAAATGAAAATTTACAAGGTTTATGTTTGCACCTTTCAGACAATCAGCCCAACTTGTCAGTCCATAAATCTATATATGATGATGTGAATAAAGTAGATTTTATTGTATCATCTTCATTATTATTTTAATGGCATAATGTCTTGGCAGTATTGCACAGTTTCCAGCCTGGATGTAACAAAAAAAACTAGTACAATAACAATACTGAATAAATTCAAGGTCCTTTACAGGAAAAATAATAAGCTTGTCCTAATATGATTAAAGCTTTTAACATTAGCTAGTAAAATAATCTTACAATGTGATAACTCTGACCAGAAATTATCAAAAAGTTTCTTCAACAATTCTGCATTGCTCAAGTTGTATGTTTTCTAACTTTAAGGAATGATGGAGTTACTTTCTCACATATAGTGGAGTGAAACTATTAGTGTGAAATCAAGAATTCCCAGAGCACAGTCTATCACATGTCTTCTCTTGGACATCAAAAATAAAGATTCAAATGACACTGGCAAGTACTTGAAGTCTTTAAGATTTTAAACTGTCATAGACAAATATGGCGTCATGAATAAGTGCTGAGTACCCAAGATTTATTTATGATATTTTAAATGTTCACTGGGGCTGATAAGGAAATTATAACAAAGTGATTACTCAAGACCACATATTAGCTTAGTACTTAGTGCATTCAGATAGCTGATTATCAAGTAGACTTTGTGCCAATATGATCAAACAATATTTGTATCTTGTGCTTAACACTTTTAAATAATTGTTTCAAAGAATGAAGTCCCATGCTAGAACTGCACAACATGATCTGAAAGTAGCTTAAACTATGAAGAACCTTAAGAATCTAACACAAAAATGTAAATTCATCCAGTAGTGGTCTACTGTTAGAATTTGGCAAAAAAGTTTCTTCAGGGCAATCATGTTCAAAGGTAGGCAACAAAGAAGCATTTCAAGTTGTTGTTGATCATTATGGAAAGCTTTACATTGAGAATTTATGTGGAATGCTTCCACATAGGCATTTGTGCTATGTTTACTCTGGCTTGACATTACTTATAATTACCAATCCCCCACCCCCCTCTGGTAGCAAATAGAAAAGAATGCAACAATGCCAGTTATGTGTGTGTAGTGGGGGCATCTGCATAAATCACTGCTTGTTAGTGTGAATGGAGGTGAGTTATGAACTTTATCCAGATATCAACAAAATAGAGTGAGGGATGGGATGTTTGATAACCAATGCTATTTCTACCATGTACAGCCATGCTACAATGAATGGAACTCCTACATCACCACATTCATGGTATGGACAAGGGACAGTGCCTCCCGCCATATACTTTTTAGGCCAAACATTTACCACCATGACACACTAGTCAGTTGCATTAGTTCTGTTTGATCTTGTATCCCTGTCTCCACCTTACATTTCCACATGTAATTTCCCAATACTTTGTTATATATTTTCTCCCTACAGTTTGCTGACCATTTGCTTGCTCTGGTTTTGTGTACTGCCAATGAGCAATCAAGTTCTAGAAGTGGGCCCTGCCCATTGGATGTAAAGACAGATTTCTCATATCACTCAACCCTGTGTTCTAGGATGTATTATTTTCAACTTACGTATCACCATTTTATTTAGAATGAAACTCTCTTGTATGAATAAATCATTTTCAGGGTCTCTTTGTATAGCCAACTGTGTAATTATGTAAGATAAACAAGTACTACCTAGGAGTGCCTTTTCTTATCCTAATTCTCACCAGTTCTCCAACATTTTTTGACATATTCAGAATTGTTTAAAGCAAAAATGGATTTCATGAACTTTGAAAAAAATTATAATAATAAAAAAATAAAACAAAAATTTTAAAAACTGTAAATGACTACTTATGCATTTGAAATATACCATATTCCATGATAAAAGTCTTTAACCAAAAAGCTGAAAATCCTCTTATTAACCCATTGCCGCCGGGGATGGCATGTACGTACATGCCATGCCCACTGTGAGTCGACTTGTTCGATTGTTTTTATACATAGATGGCTACACTTGTACTAAGTATCCAATGAGCCAATTACGAGTACTGCCTGTCTCGCCCGTTCACCCTTTTCATCAATTTACAAAAATATTTAATGTTAGCCTAATTTGCTGTTAAAAATAACACCATCTATATGTATAGCACTAGTAAGAATATGTTTTTTTTTTTTCCGCCAATTCAAGGAAAGGTGAAATCAGGACTAGCAGAGCCATCAATGGACAGAGATATTTCACAAAAATATAAAAAATGAGTACTGCATTTCCCCCATTTTTTTTTCATTTTCCCCAGCGGCAATGGGTTAATGGGATATTCCACTAATTTTACTTAAAACCATTTTAATGGGTAAAATTTTGGGTAATATCAAATGATGCCAGGGCCCATTACTGTATGGCTCTCAGCCACCAGAAAAGGGGCTTCTGATGTAATCAGATGTCCCCTAATATCAGTTAATATTTGGTCATGACATGACAGGATGTTACAGTCTGTGTGTATTTTAAACAGTTATGACTGCAATACCTACTGGATACTCTGCTTGTTTCATACATTTGTAAAGCTGCTTTACATGAAACATATGAAGTGTGAAGCACCTCTGAGAAATCTAATCACAAGAGACTGAGCAAGAGAGAATGTCTGCATGTTGAGAGAATTTTGAGTGATTAAATGAGATTTGTATCATTATACTCAATTAAGCCCTACATATCTCACAACTTTTCTATTGCTAGTCTCTCTTCAACCATTCTTTCCTTTGGCTTGTATTTTACATACCCATTTTGTTAGTAACCAATTTATTGTTCAATGGCATTTTTGTTGTTCATTATGTTGATTCTATTTGTTCTCTTTCTTCTCTACATCTTTCTGTTTTCTCCCTTTCACACTCTCTTAGTACTGTTATCACATATGATAACATATGTATAAGCTGTTTCTAGCCTATAAGATGATCCTTGGACAAACATTCAAATGCTTCTGAGGTCTCTAATTAAAGGCCAATGAAATACAACAATATATTACAACTCACTCAATATACACAAAGTATAACAGTTAAGTCTTGCATGTTGGGGGGGATTGCCTAAAAATTGCATTTCATAGCTTTGCTTCCTTTTTTAGGTTGTTTCTATTAACACTGCATTTCCTTATGCAAATTCAATTAACTTAATGAAAATCATTTTTCACATTTTCCTTAATTTCCTCAGAAAATAAAAGGAAACATATATACATGTGTATATTTTTTTCTTAGTTCACTTGGTATATAAATTTTAAACCAAAATATAATAAAATTTACATATATACATATATATTTTTAAATTCATTTGGCATTTAAATATTAAACCAAAAATGTAAAAATCCATCATAGTTTCCTGCACTGCCTATGGTACAACCAGATCTTCAGAAAAGTCCCACCTAATTATACATAACCTTGTTGCCTCTTTAGTAGTACAGCCTTTAAATAGGCTATGAGCAAGTTGGAATATACACAATGAACATTTCATTTCAGCGTTTAGGATATTTCCCCTTCTCTATTTGGATATCTACTTAACTTTGCAGAAATAAGTCTGCTAAGTTAATACATACACAATATAAAAATTAGATCACTCTTTCAAATACAGCAGACTTTTGTTAAAGAGGCCACATAAGCCAGTATAAATCTGATGGCTCATAGTTAATGGGGTTTAATCTACAATTTTGCATTGGTGGATTTTCAGATATTATAAGTAATCAAAACCAATTTTTCAATTCTTACAACACAAATCCCCCCCCCTTCCACTAAGGACATTTTCCTTAGAAACATTATCTTGCAAGTACATCAATATAATTATCATGTGTATTACAGTTTTCTATCATTCACTGTACATTAAATAAAAAAATATATTCTATGTCTGAAAAATTTGTACTACTGCAGCCACATCACTGTTTGAAAATGTACTTAGTATACACATGGTACATCAGTCTTTTAGCTGTGTCAGGATCACTTTTTGCAATGCCTTCTAGCCACCTTTCCAGGATTAACTTTGTTGGCAAGTGAAATATTGCTCGGAGCCACTTGTACAGGGCTGGGCTTTGCAGATAGAAAGCTAATGCTAGTATCTTCTCTCTAACACTGTACCTGTAGAATAAGGGAAGGTTTTATTAAAAGTAAAAATAAAAAGATTATTGAAAATATATGGAGATAATGACTGATGTGAAATGATGAAAGAAATTAAAAATTTTTACAATATGTACTCTGAAAGAATAAAGAAAGAAAGAAAAGAAGAAGAAGAAAAAAAAAATCCCTTGACCAGTGAGATCTAGACTTTATAAAAGATTATTTTAAAGTCAGCTGTAATTGTTGTTCATTATTTTCATTTGCAAGTCTCCTTACCAGTGTAAAAAATATATATAAAGCACTCCCAAAGTATAGATTTCTGTAAATACCAAAACCAGTTTCAAAATGCCTGAGTCTACAACAAAGAGAAATTTTATAAAAAGTGAGAAAAACTAGCAGGACCATTTCCTACAGCAAACTGCACCTAGACCCATAACTGGAACTAAAACATGGAACACCAAAATCTACTAAACTGGTTTCTGGGTCATGGCCAAACCACACTTAAATTTTCATCACATTCCACTAGTAACTTTTCACATGACCCAGCTGAAGAAACAAGAAGCTAAGTTAACTAACCAACGATACTGGGCAAAAACATTATTACCTCTCTCTCTCTGTGTGATGAGAGAGAGAGAGAGAAGAGGGGAAACAAATACCTGACTCCCTGCATATTGTGGCAGCCTGATTTTAGTTGCAATGTAAAGAACACTAGTTGTTCTTCAGTCAAGAACCTTGAGGCACCACAAACCAAGTCTGCCAGAGTGTACAGCCTCCTCTTTCGCAGTTCTTGCACTGCCCTTGAGTACTGCTGACGGAGAGCATCCAACTTTTGGTTGTATGTCCTGTTGATAATATTAAAAAATACCTTTTACTTACTTTTCATTTTACATTCAAATACTGAAAATATATTTGTGTATAAAAATTCTGCTGATACATTTCCTTGGAGGGAGAGGGAGAGAGAGAGGGAGAGAGAGAGGGAGAGAGAGAGGGAGAGGGAGGGAGAGAGAGGGAGAGAGAGAGAGAGAGAGAGAGAGAGAGAGAGAGAGAGAGAGAGAGAGAGAGAGAGAGAGAGAGAGAGAGAGAGAAAAGAGAGAGAGAAAGAGAGAGAGAAAGAGAGAGAAAGAGAGAGAAAGAGAGAGAAAGAGAGAGAGAGAGAGAGAGAGAGAGAGAGAGAGAGAGAGAGAGAGAGAGAGAGAGAGAGAGAGAGAGAGAGAGAGAGAGAGAGAGAGAGAGAGAGAGAAATGTAAACATATACATAATGTATACATATGTGCTTGTCTTCGTACGTAGGTGCATCTAATTATCTGTTAGTTATATTATTCTGCATATATTCAACAACCCGAGGCTAACACAAGGTATGGTTACTGGTGCTGATATCATGTAAATACAATATCATTTGTTCATAAACTTATTTTATTAGAAATTCTGAGGATGTTCACTCAGTATATCAAGTTCTGTGGGTGTGGGTGCATGTGAGGAGAAAAGGATGGAGGGATGAAGATAACAAGAAAGTGAGGAAGAGCATAAAAAGTATAGGAAAGGGGAAAACAAAGAAGGCTGGACAGGGGAAGGAGAGGAGGAAGGCAAATAATCTGTGTGAAAGTCAATAGGAAAGTAAACAGGAATGTAATGATGTGCATAAATAATTGAGATATTACTCTTTGTCATGTGCCTCCCTACCTGACCATCCTTTTGTTCTTCATTCTCTGAGTTCTTGATGCAGCTGCTCTCTTCAAGTTTTGCCCTGGCACTGCGGCATCCCCTCCCCCCTTTTCTGTCTGCGATGTAGATGCCACTTCTTCACTTTCTTCATTCTGGTCACTGCTGACTTCTTTGGGTACTGATAGTGGTGTCACTGTTGATGTGCCTCCTGTGGTAGTTATCACATGGTAAATAAGATTTTCTTTGCCATTTACCATAGATGTCTCACCAGTATTGACTATCTGCACCTTGGTTTTCCCTTCTGGGCCGAGAGACATTTCCGATCCTGAACCTGGACCACTTCCTTCTTCCAAGATATTCAGTCCTCTTATGGCAGAGGAACTTTCAGGATTACCAAAGTCTTCCTCACTTTCACTCTGAACATCAAATGTATCATCTTCGGGAATATCCTCTTGCAGACTGAATTTCTTACTGAACACTCCTACGTAACTTGAAAAAAAGTCCCTGTCGTGATGATCTACTTCAGAGGAGGCACTCTTGCGTCCTCTTCCTCGACCTCTCCCACGACCACTGAATTTTGTCATTCTAGTGTTGAACACTCCTTCTTCCTCATCGGAGGTATTAAAGTCAGCCACATAATCATCAAGTACCTTCGAACGTCTTTTTCGTTTAGGCTTGTTTTCACTATCAGTCTCCACATCTCCAGCTTCTGTACTATCACAAACTGCCTCTTCATTGTTGGTGCTGATTGATAATATTCTTTTTCCTGCTGCTGTGACTTCAATTTGAGTGTTATTGGTATTGGCAGCCTGTTTCCCTGGCACTGTACGAGGAACAAAGGTGCCCTTCCGTGGGCGACCTCGCTTTCTCTTAAATGCCACAGTTGGAACTGGGGCATCACTACCTGACTTTGAGTTTCCCTGACTAAGTTCTTGCTTGCCTTCACTTGAACAGCTTTCAATTTCTTTTAATACATCTTCCATCACACTGTATGCACCACTGGGAAGTTTCAGTAGCTTTTTTTCCTTAACAAATTTATCTATCTTGTCTGGACTAATGGTAATCTTAACTTTTCTCGAACTGTTTAATTCCTTCTCTGTCTCCTTTGAGCTGTTCTGAGATCCTTTGACTTTGCTGGAACTTGTCATGTCAACATTTTCATCTCTTACTTCACTATGTATTTCCATTTTAACTGGTAGAACAGACATATGAACTACACTCTCAGCTGTGAAGAAAAAGAATTTTTTTTTTTTATTGTTATTGTAGGCTATTTCACAGTTCTACTTTTCAAAAGAATGCTATACTGCCTGAAGAAACTAACAAATTCTTAGTATTCCTCTTTTTCTTGTAAATAACTAAAACCCCATACAGCTTTAATGTATTTTTTATTATATTCTCAACTCCCAGACCTATCAAAAATGAGTCTACATATTTTTCTTTAGAACAAAACTCACCAGACTCAAGATGGAGTTGTTGCAGTTCGCCCTGAGGCCGGAGACAATCTAAAGCCTCAACTTTCACTCTTGGTGTTCTTCCTGACTCCTCTTCCTCAGGCTCCTCAGCAAAGGCCTTGTCAACCTGGCCACTTCCACTCAGTTCATCTTCTGTAAGATCACAGTATTTAATCTAAAGCTTCTGGGATAATGTTCACAATAGTTTTGTTCAGAGAAATATCTTTGCACATAGATGGCTTTGCAAGTGCTTGGCCACAAAGGAGTCACTTAGTAGAGCTTGTGACCTCACGTGATTTCACCTTTCCTTGAGTTTCTGGGAAAAATGATTTTGACTAATGCAATAAATATCAATGGCATTACTTTCTGTTATTATAAGAGTGTTATTTACATTACTAACAATAATAATAGATACCAGAAAATATTTTTGAAAATCAAGGAAAGGGGTAAACAGGTATTATTCGTTCGTAATTGGCTCACTGGAGAGTTAGTACTTCTGGAGCCATCTATGTGTAAAAGCAATTAAAAAATTAAACTCACAGTGGGCATGGTATGTATTCACATGCCATCCCTGGTGGCTTTAACCCAATGCTGACGGGCATGGGACGTACGTACATGCCATGCCCACTGTGAGTTTACTTGTTTAATCGTTTTGACACATAGGTGGCCACACTTGTACTAAGTCACCAATGAGCCAATTATGAGTACTGCCTATCTAGCCTGTTTACCCTTTTCCTTGATTTATGAAAGTATTTTACGTTATCTTATTTTGCTGTTACTAATGTTTATAACTTTATAGTAATTATAATGTTTATAATAAAAATAACGCCATCGATATTCATAGAAAAAAAAAAAAAAATTCCCACCTAATCAAGGAAAGGTGAAATCAAGTAAGGTCACTAGGTCTACTAATTGACTCCCTTTTGGATAAGCACTAACAGAGCCATCTATGTACATACACCTTCACAAAAATATTAAAAATGAGAACAGAATTTTCCCATTTGTATTCTTTTTACCTGGTGGCATGTGGTTAAGTTAATATTCAGTAATAAAAAAAACAAAACAAAACAAAAAAAATTGCAAATCTTGGACCAAATCCTTTATTAGAAAATTTAAGGAACTCATAAATTGAAAATAAAGTTTATTCATCTCTATGAAGTCTCCAAATTAATAAATAGCATAACAAATATGTCAAGAAGAAACCAAAATACAAAATAGCTGTTGTAAAGTGTACTGGAATTTATTTTCTCATGAGCAGTTTTACATGCCTGTCTTGTCGCTGCTCTGGACGTGTGGAAGAGCCTCGGCCGACAGTTCTGGCTTGGGGGTTGTCCTCACTATGTCACTTGAGCGGAAATGGTCAGAACAGATCCTTGGTTCCACTTTGTTGTTACTTGAAACCATATGTTCTCTCAAAAGCTTCATCCACAAACATTTTCTGCAATGGAATGACCAGGAGTTTTAGATGACACGTGACTATTTTGACCCATCTTGTGTGGATTGTCTGGTGATAAAGTTATTCGTCTGTGAAGCAATATAAAATTCTCTTTAATAAATCAACAAAAACTATAATGCACCAAAATAATCTAAAT